GAAGTTAACTGGTAATGATCAATATCGTAACAGGATTACCTTTCAAGTTGGAAAATACCATGATACTGTTACCTTAATCAGTCGTGCTACTTATCTTGAAGTGTGGGTTCAGCAAATAAAAGGCTCAAAACTGTCAACAAGTGATTTATTATTATCATTGGACAAAGGACTAGTCACAGTCACAGAATCACTCCATTACACTTACAAGTCAAAACATGAGTTTGGAGTACCATGTACATGCACTGCAGTACCTCATCCTGCTGTGATTGACTTTAATGAAAGTGCAACTAAGTGTGTGAATGGCAGAATAGTGGAGTTTAATGACAAACAATTATACTGGTCTAAGAAGGTAAATAACATTACATCTTTGCAAACTATGTATTGAATGTGCATGTATAGGTTGTTGAACTGAATAACGCATTCAGCAAAGTATCACCTCAAACTGGTAAATCAATCGATTTGATGTGTGTTTATGATTTGATTTTAATTTTTTTGTTTACATTTTGTCTTTTAGTTTGTCCTATAGAATTATTTCGTCATCACTCAGCTAATATTGCCCAGTGCATCTCATTAGATGTAATACGTGTTGCTGATAGACTGTTTGCTGCAAAAGTGATACCTCAACAATTAAGAAATGAAGTATCCAATGTAACTAGTTTAGATGACTATAGAAAAGCCAACAAATTGACAGTTCACATTCAAAATATTCTCAGTTGTCATACAGATCCCACTAAGTATCTTACTGATGTGTGCTATGCATTGTTCCATATAGACAATGATCCACTCAAGCACATTCTTATTAGCATACTGAATAAGCTGGGAAAACCACTACCTCAAGGTAAATACCAATATATTGGACCTATTTTACATATTATTATGTATAGGAAGCATACAAGATGTTAGCAAAAGCTCTTCTCTACTAAACAAAAGGCCAAGAGTAGCACAAGGTACATACATCCATCACTAATTATAATTATTACAAATTTATAGATGACACATCTGCCAGCAAGAGGTTAGAGACAGACCCTGAAGGTTCTTACGACAATACTTTTAGTGAAGGGCAGTCCTCTGGTAGTGGTATTTTACAAAATGAAAGCAAAGGACACAAGAGACAGAGAGAAGATGATAGCTCTCCTGGAGATTTTACTAAAATGAAAAAGTCAACAACTCAAAGTTAAACCTCAGAAGATGTAAGCCAACAAACATTTGCATCAGCTTTATCCACTTGTAGCCTTGTATAGGTAGATCTAATGAATGTTAACTGTATATTAACATTATAGTTGGTCTTGGTATTATTGTTATAATCCTACTGTCATTATTGATACACAATCACTTAGCATTATA